GTGGGCTGTGCCACACCCACTGTCTAATTTTGAACGCGGTTCCTATAAAGTCATCTCATACCATCCCAGAGATAAAATTTAATGTCTCTGGCTTGTTTAGTGCTTCGGTTATCGCGCTTTTAGTATTTTTTAAGAGTACCGTTATATAGGGAGTGGGCGGAGTTGCCACCCGATTGCAACTATTTTTACACTGTAGGTAGAGGTTCTAAAAACATTTGCTTCCAGTGAATTTTGTTATTATTGCATAAGCGGTTTAGGAGATATACACATTAAACATATTAGGGGTGGGACCACGCCCACCTTAAAAATTTTTTTTAACTGCAGATGCCCCTCCCTATTGTGATCCTGTAAACCAAATAACAGTCTTGTATCTTTTGGAGCTTAGTTATGGCAATTTATTTGTTTTTGAATAATGGCGTTTTTTGGGCGTGGCAGTGGTCCGATTACGCCCATCTGCAATACCAACCCTCTCACGGTATCAAGAAACATGTCTACCAAGTTTCATAAATATATCTCAATTTTTACTCAAGTTAGAGCTTGCACGGACGGACAGACGGACGGACGGACAGACAGAAACCCGGATTTCAACTCGTCTCTTCATCCTGATCATTTATATATATATAACCCTATATCTAACTCGATTAGTTTAAGGTGATACAAACAACCGTTAGGTGAACAAAACTATTATACTCTGTAGCAACAGGTTGCGAGAGTATAAAAATGAAATATACTTAAGCACTAGCTAGAACTAGATTCTAGAAGAGTAGCACGATTATAAAATTACCCGTAATGCACTCGGTCATCCACACTTAATTTCCACAAATAAATTCGTAATGTAACTACATTTATTATTTTCAGTTTTCGGTCTTAAGTGCCTAAAGTATTCTTAGTTCATGCAATGCGCACTTCCTACTAGCAAGCGGAGGAAGTCACAAGAGAAATATTACTTAAGTAAGGAGAGCATTGTAATTGTAAGATATAGTCATTTGTCTGCAAATATTAGAAGAAAGAAAGGAAAGAAGTAGCAAAGTAATAAATGCAATGACTCAGCCTAAAAGAATCGTGATAATATTCGAACAAAAACTTACTTCTCATTGTTTGAATTTGGTCAGAAAAGAGGTTTGTCTGCATCCACTTACCTACTTAGCTTTGTAAGAATGGAGTAATTGATTATATGCTCGCATATGTTATTGAAAATATTGGGAGTTGGGTAAATAAGTTCGAAGAATAATTTCGTTACATTTGAAAGCTGAAACAAGTAAGGAAGGCCTAAGTTCGGATGTAACCGAACATTTTATACTCTCGCAAAGTCAAATGGTATATGTGGCTTTGTAGATCTTGCCGCCTTGTTCTTGTTGACCCATATTTTCGGTAAGAAGTAAACTATAGACACTGGGGTCCACATATTCAGTACCTAGGGGCTCGAACAGTTTTGGTTCAATTTAGATAATTTTTGGTCACAAGGTGGCATACTTTAAACGTATTATTCACGCAAAGTTTTACCCCGATATAATCATTGTTGCTTGATATGCATAGTGGAAACTGAAAAAATCAGATGGAATTTAAAATGATGTTATATCGGAAATAGGCGTGGTTGTAATCTGATTTCGCACATTTTCGTACTATAACATAGAAATATGAGAAGAATATTATGTACCGAATTTGGTTGAATTAGGTTAAGCAGATTCCAAGATATGGGTTTTCACCTAAAAGTGGGCGTGATTCCTATAAAATTTAATGTCTCTGGCTTGTTTAGTGCTTGAGTTTTCGCGCTTTTAGTAGTTTTTAACAGTACAGTTATATGGGGAGTGGGCGGGGTTGTCACCCGATTTCACCCATTTCACACCTTCGATAGAGGTGCTAAAAACATTTGTTTCCAGTGTGGCGGTTTGTGGGCGTGGCAGTCATCCGATTACCCCCATCTGCTATACCAACCGTCCTACGTTACCAAGAAACATGTGTACCAAGTTTCATAAAGATATTTCAATTTTTACTCAAGTTATAGCTTGCACAAACAGACGGACGAACAGACTGTCACCCGGATTTCAACTCGTCTCTTCATCCTGATCATTTATATATATTATATAAACAGTAATAATAATAGGTATAAACCTATATTAAACTTGATTAGTTTTAGGTGATACATACAACCGTTAGGTGAACAAAACTATTATACTCTGTAGCAACAAGTTGCGAGAGTATAAAAATAGTATATTTTTGGTTATATTATATTTTTTTCGAAAGCGATCTTATTGTAGTTGGAATTTTGGTTCTTCTAGCATGTGTACTAATGATTTTTCATCATGGATTGTCTTATTTAACATTCAGATATACACTAACATGTATGTTTTTAAATACTCACTTACATATCTGTGTGTTTTCGCAGAGTCATACAGCATTTCAGTACTTAGGAAATACTTGGCAACAAAATATGTGAATCATTGTATATTGGCAAGTTAATAAATATTTAATAAATAATTTATATTAAAATAAAGAATATATAAGGTTTATTTGTGTATATTTACGAAATTCGTTTTGGGTGTGAATAAGAAAATTACACGGGTTAACACGAAATTAGACCTCGACTTGAAAGTGTAAAATTTCTTAATTTAGGTCACAAATACACGAAAAAAAATATATGACGTTCAAAAGTTTGATTTTGTGGTCAGGAAACTAATTAAACGAGTTTTCTCAAAATTTGTGGTTTTAATGTTTAATTTAAGATAGAACTACATAGATAAATGTATTTATCAGTTTCACTATTCAAATAACTCATCGGCGAAAATTTTCTAATTTGTGGACCAACAAAAGTCCCAGCTTTAACCTTTGATTCTGATAGTTTCGGAAAAAATTTTCTTAAGTATTCAAAAGCTTCTGAAGTTTGGTCGAGTTTTTTCACGAATTGTTTCATCAATCCGAACTTAATATGGAGAGGTGGAATTAACACTTTTTCTGCTTCCACAATGGAACTGAATTTTACGTTTTGTTTCCCGATACAAAATTTGGTTCTTTCAGGCCAAGACCGTTGAATGTAGTGCTTAGCATCCGCTCTGCTCATAGCACGGAAACTTGGTATATCCGCTCTGTAATCCCATTAAAAATCCGACCATTTTAAAATCACCAATCAACTACCAATTGAACTCGTCAGACTTTACTGCGTCAAGCAAGATTTTAACACTATCATAATTTTCTTTCATATGTACCGAGTGTGCAATTGGAAGGAATGGAAATTTATTTCCGCTATGCGCTAGGAATGCAAGATATGCCAATTTCTTCAAACATACCTTTGATGTCATTGCAAAAACAAAGTCCATCTTCTTTTGCGAAAAACCTTGAAAATGTCTCATGCCTAGTTCGCTGATCTGTTATAGGTATTAACATTATCAAGCAAATTGCACTGTTTAAACCGAGAGCCTAAAAGCTCTGCTTTATTTTTTGGTAAATTTAAATCTCTTATTAGGTATATATTATAATCTTCTGTAGTAATAAGATGGTATTTTGGTTGTTCTGGGGTAGGTAAAAACTCTTTATCGGAATTACTTTTATATGAACTCAGAGATGAGTTACTTTTTTGAGATAGATTCTTTGGTGGCTCAGGCACTGGTCGAGTCCGGTCATGTGGAAGTGGAGCAGAAGAAGATGCAAGGTCAGGATACTCGACAGGTTTTGCATTTTTACCTCTACGTCGTTTACTCGGGTTAACGATACAACAGTAGGAATCATGGACATGGTTCCTTTGTTCACGCTAAATTCTTGGTGTTGCAAACTTCATAGACCTTTTTTCACCTCGATACCAGCCTAAATTATAGAATTTAAATCAATTTCTATTACAGTAGATTCGCCGCTCAATTAAACATCGCTCACCTTCCAAACCTCTTTTACAATAACCACAACCAACATGTGGAGTCCATGATTTATCTTGATTTTGAACAGTACAGTCAAAATATGCTTCATAGGCATCGCAGAGAACTTGACATGATTTTAACTCATATTTAGTGTCTCTAACCTTCATAAATTCACCACATATATAACAAAATGCATCAGCATCGTATTTACACTTTCTCGATGACATTTTAACGTTTTCTGGGTATTTACGAAACACCTGGTCGTTATTTAATATCCCTTGAGTGCCATTTTTAAAAAATTGAATTAAGTGTATTATTATTATAACTATCGCAAAAGCAAACTTTATACCAAAAACAAGTATTTTCTTTTCGTTTTTGTGTCTAAATAATTGAAAAATCATAGTATAAAGTTTAGGACAAACAACAATTATTTTTTTGTTGACCCGTGTAATAAATACTTTCTTTGCTATTATTAAGAATAAATTGTAAAAATATTAAATTAGTAACTAAGACTAAAATCGATACGATATCTATGTATATAATATAATGATAATTAATTTTTTCATTTTTAAAAAATGCCTAATTTTATAATCTTGTATATTTAAGTAAAAATGTATGAATTTGCAATTACAGCCTCGTCATACAATGTCAAAGGAATTTTAAATATCAAAATTTGTCCAACAAATTCAGACCACTCTGAATTCGGGTTCTAAATACATGGGCTAAAGTGTAGTCAAAATAGTGGACTTGTAAATTGTTGCCACCATCCACCGCATTCGCATGATTTGGTTTGGTTTTTTATTGTTTCTAAATTGAAAAGTTTTGGCAGTATAGACAGAAATATGAGTTGAATGTGAAGGCTGCCTTTGCCACGGATGCCTATTTTGAAAGCCTCTAGAAAACCTAGTTTCCAAACGGTTTGAAGAGCATCGCTGGGTAAAGTGTATTATTTTAAGAGGAGGCTATGTTGTCAATTTTTCAAACTTCTCGTTTTTCGTTTGTAGGATAAGTACTAATCGGATCACCCTCTTGTATTTATATATTATGAATTTGATCCAATGTCTTCACAAAATACTTGCTTGCCTTCATGTACTATATTTATTACATACCGTAGATTAGATTAGGTTAGATTAGAATATGAGATTTTGCGCTGGGACCTAGGGTCTAGGTCCCTCTCCTCCATCACATGCATTCCCAAATTCCCAGCACCCTGAAAAACTCCAAGAACTTGCTGGGTGCTAAACATTATATACCGTACTTACTTCATAAGAATCACGTCACGTATTTTTCGTGCATCTCTTCTCTTTTGAGCATCTCGGAGTTATAGCATTCCTAGTCACAATGACTGCTTCTTCACTCCGAAACATTTCTCGGTTACTTCCTGCTTTGTGAAGAAATAAGAAAGTTTACAATTTAGGAGAAGCAGAAAAAACCAGCCTTTATTTAGAAGCTACAATTTAGTGAAAAAATCAGTTTATACTTCAAATCACATTTTTTATTACTCTTTTAATGTTATTTTAATACATTTTTCAATGTTGTATGTCATTAATATTTTGTGATGCGTAGTGTGATACAACAGTCATGTTAGCCTAAAAGTTTCATATATGTAGTATGTACTATATGTATAATAAATAGATTTATACTTGGAGCTGTCTAGTTGGAGTTTAAGTAAAAATTCTGAAGCCTAAAATTTGTTTATTATAGCATTTCTTTATTTACAAGTTTTGTAGTATACATTATAAATTGATACCTTTTAATAATTATGTTAGTTAATGTCTAAATAACATTTTAATTGCTATGGTATTAATTACCATGTATGGTATAGGTAAAATATTTCTTATTACAATAATTGTAAAATATTTCCAACATTATACAATTTTACAAGAAATACTATATATTTGAAATGAACAACACTTATAACATCAATATAATTTATTATTATGTAATATAGCATTTGAGAAAACCGACCTATATCACATTTAGAATTGAATAAATTCAAATTTTATTTAGCTTTTGCTTTAGTTTACAGTTTAAATAACTGAATTTTTACTGTTCTTCACAAATTATATCAATATCTGTATACATATAATTGTTTTCATTAAATAAAAGAATATATAATATTTTAAATTTTGATTTAACTTTTCTTAGTATAATTTTTATTTTCATTTACTTAACTACTGAAGCAAATGGAAAATCTATTTTTAGTCGGTATTTATATTTTTATTATTTATACTTAACTCAATATTTATTTTTAATATTTTTATCGCTTATTCATATATGTTATTTATTGAAATCAAAACAAAATAGTCTTCGACTTTTAAGAAACCTTGAAACTTGAGTTCTGAGAACGTCATTTAAAATATTTATTTAGTAAATTATGAGGGCCCAATTTATAGAAGTACACCTATATTGTTTTTACAATGTAGCCACACAGCTGAAATAGATATCCCTCCAAATGCAAGATCAATAAATATAGACCTTCAAGTATTGTAGTTTTTAGAGAACTTCGCAACGAAGAATAAATACATCATGAAAGCATGATTGAAATGGCCATTCGTCAAAGCCATTCACGTTTACCAGATTATTGGTTATTAACGTTTTTTTATTTTGAGTCTTATTCGAATCTATAGCATCAGTCAGTAAGAAGAGAAATTACGTTAAATTAGAAGAATTTTCAGAAGCTCGCAGACAGTCAGCTTGGAGTTCATGTGAGACAACTTGGATTCAACGCACTGAGGCAATAGGGCGTTCTCAACTTGCGGACGAATCGAGAGCTAGAGCTAGCAAGCGTTGGCCAAATTATTCTGCCTTATTTATGTATTTGCTTATCTAGGTCCTCTCACTCACACATAAATACGCGCTAATCCAGATATAGTATATTTGTGGTCTCGTTTATCTGTTTGCTGCTCTTCTTTTTCTCTCGCTTGAATTTTTTCATTTTTAAAAAATGCCTTGCGTTTGCTATAGAGTTCTCCATTCAAAAGCTCAATGAATGTTTAAATGAGCTTTTGAGGAGGAGAGAAGAGATTACCGAGGAAGAAGGGCTATAATTAGGTTACATAAGCCGCAGGTCCTTAATAAGGCCAGCTATATTGTATACAAAATCAAAGTGAATAAAGTGGAAATATCCCTATTCAATATACAAGACATTTTTCAAACTAGAACTGTTTGAGTGTATGTAGTAAGAGCGGATATGAAGTTACTCTGTATTATAGGAGGGCGGTCTAATCGGTATCTTGATTCAATTATATAAGGTTGTGTTACTCGAAGCGTGATTTCTCTTACGAACAAAATTTCTAATCCACAATGACGAAACAACTTTTTATGGTATGAATTTTTTAGAAGTATTTGTACACGATTTTCATGGTTTTGTGTGATTTTCTTGAGAAAAAGGTTCAAAGCGCTTTGTCGATATATAATTGATCATTATACAGTAGGTACCACAACGGACCGGCGTTCTAACTGTCCAAGAGAGATCCTTGTTAGGATCGACCTCTAGCTAACCTATCCTAAACTAGAGAACATAATTTTCAGAAGAAATTTCTTTGGACACTTTTGAAAATTTGATGTGTTTTTAATATTAATTGAAAGAAAACAGAGCGTATTTAAACGAGTAAATAATTAATTAAATTAAAAATAAATTTAAAGCTGAAAAATATCCAATTGCGATACTTGTGGTATACTACGCAAAAAGGGCAAAACATTTTTCCAAGTGAAGGATGTGCAACGCGAAACTCTGTGGAGTAAAGCAACAACAATTTTAAATTAGAAATGCAACTTCGTATGTTCCAAAAATATTTCCACCCAGCGATTTCCTAGTGCCTACGATTAATATCGTGACTCAGCTTAAGTGTGAAACTTGCAGACAAATAATAGTAGAGTAAGTTTTTATGGAATGACAGAGGGACAAGTAAGAACAATGGTTAATAACAATTATAAAAAATATTATTGATAAAGCTATCAACTGGGCATGGGGCGATATATCAAATGAAATATGCTGGCATAATGCTGATCTTCAAGCGTGTAACCATATGTAGATTGAATCTCACATATTTCAAAATCTGATTTGTTAATTGCATCTAAAGTCATATACGACCATCTCCAGCAGAATGTTGGTAAGTTTAAATTAATTATCATTTCATAAGGGTTAATAGTTAAACTTTTTGCATATTTACTGCGAAAGTACAGAGTTGAGCTTGTGAGCGATACGATGCATGATTCGATTACATATACATATAAGGTTGTGTCGCTACGGAGCGTGCTTCGTCTTACAAAAAAAAAAAAAAAAATCCACAATGCCAAAATAAACTGGTTTTTGCTTTTCTCATGATATTATTGTTTATATTTTGATGATTTTGTGTGATTTACAACATATTCGTTTTCGTATTTTCATTGGTTGAAATCTTTTAAAAATTTATTTTTAAATCATAAATAGACAACAATACAAAGCAAAACGGCTGATTTTGACATTATGGATTCAAAGACTTTTGACAAATTGATGTTTTTGGGCTATTGACATAACCTTATATAATTGAATCATGGATACGAAACAAGCAAGATCGTACATAATTCATACTAAATTATAAATGTGAATGTAAGTTCGTTCGCTTTCACGCCAAAACCACTTAACTGATTATTATGATACTTTGTTCACATCTGTATTCCTAAAGGTAGTAGAAAGACATAGGTTACTTATTAATAAAAAAAGAATAATGAAAAATTTATTTAGCCAGATGTGCTTGTTTGTCGAAGAATTTTAAAATCTAGCACTGAACGAAATCAAGAAGATTCAAATCACGCAGAGCTGAGAAAACAACAGCAGCGGAAACGCCTCTTCAGATTTAAATCAGTTTTCAGTTTTTTAAAAAGACAGGCTGAGCAAAATTAAACATGATGAGCGATGAAACGCAACAACAATCGCAGGCGACAAGAATCACGGCCACGCGCCGTCGAAGTTTCATGCGTAAGAATTGGTCTGTATATAATGATACTGATGCTCTCAGCCAAGCATAAATACACTCAACGTGTTGATTCATTTCTATGAAAATGTAATTATTTTTGATAATTATTTTAGATATTCAATGCGAGCAAAGCCGCGGATAAAGCTAGTAATAATTATAATTTAGAGTAAAATGCCAAAAAAAAACTAAAATTTTTTTCAAGGAAAAACATTTGTATAACTGCTTTTTAAAATTAAACCCCATGTACAATCCATTGAATTCTTATACGCGCGATAAAGTTTTCGTTTTTATTTGTAAATAATATTTTTACTGTATTGAATAATTTATTATGATAATATTTAATGTATACCATAGGCGGAGTAACGCGTGGCAGCATGTTCTAGTTATTTTTATTTTACATGGAACTGACACTTAAGTCTAGAGAGGATTTTACAGCTTTATATGGAACTCACGAGTATTGTGAAGAAGAATGTGCCATTGCAAACGAAATGCAAGATGCAGACGTGGATGGCATTGTTGTTTTGCAGGAGTACGCGTTGAAAAATGATTGTACATTTACGTGGAAGGTTTCTGCATCCAAAAGATTAAGAAATTTAAGTATAAATTTTCTAAATGTTATACAGAAAGTATACTCTTTTCAAAAAATGAAAATAAGATAGCCCGAGTAAAGAATTTCCATTTGAAATAAGCTTTCCCAAGTTAATATACCAGATGTTGCGAAAACACTCTGTTTCAAGTGCAAAACATTTTTTAGAATTAAACAATAATACATAATTTGAAAACAAAACTTTTGACAAATTGTTCTTTTTGGGAAATCGACACAACCTTATTTATTTGAATCACGATCGGCATTTAGTCTCACCGTTCGTATACGCCACTATCGCAAGAGGAACTTACTACTGTGTACCACACTCTCGTATATGACTACTGTCAATCAGACGACTCGTGAAAAGAAAAATATAAAGATCAAATAAAAAACGATTTATCTGCAATACGTCTTCAAATTCATCTGAGACGAAGTATGATATATTACTATTGATTGAGTTAGGCGAATAATGGTATGTATTGCTATGTTTTCTAAAGTATTAGTTGGTCAAGAGTTTTTTTCCTAAGAAGAGAGAACTGAGTAACTACGTACCCGCTTCAAAGTCAGGATACTACGAAAGCAATAAAAGCTTGTAATTCGAATTATGGAAGCTTCTCAAGTTCTAAACGATTTTATCAGCACTTTTTTTTATGATAAAAATACATTTGGAGTGTGTCCTAACTTGGCGTGGTAAAATATAATTTCGAATTCAGGTCGAGCGCAGCTCTAATCGCTACAAGCTTGTTATAGGTTGCAATACTTACGGAAATGTTTTGAAAAAATGACTTGAAAAGATATCCAGCAAAGAATGACTTGTACGGTTATATCCACTTGTGAATATCAAAAAAATTTTGAATTTCATTAAAATGTTTTTATCCATACTAAATAATATTATATACTAATATTATAAATGTGAATGAAAGTTTGTTTGTTACGCCTTCAAGCAGACACCACATAACCGATCGTCATGGAACTTTGTAAGCCCTAATGGGCTAATAGTGTAAAAATATTGATGTATGTATATATGTATATATTTATATAGATATATTATATACACATTTATATATATTATATAAATAGACGTAACTATTATATATCTATATATAAATATAATATTATATATAAAATCTTTTGGCAGATTTGATTGTAAACTAATTTAAAATATAAAATTTTAAAAGATGGAATAATATATTTGCTGTGTGTTAAAACTTTTTAAATATGTATGTACATAAATATGTATGAATGTATGTATATCAAAACAAAAATGCCACGAAATCATAAGTCAAAACTGTCCAGAAGTTCGCATTTAGAAAAGCCATGCTTCTCTCGCGGTCAACTATATCTAGCCTTTTTGCTGAACGGAAATCTTACAAAATAGTATAAAAAAATATTCTAGAATCTGTTGAGTTTCATTACATAAATGCAGTAATTTTCAAATACTAATTTCTATTAAAATGTAATGATCTTTGACATTTATTCAACGAATTTAATGCAAGCGATAAAGGGGTAAAGTTATTATAAACATATTTTAGAATATTTTCCGAAAATTTGAAGTTGATGTGGCAAGTATTTTCGGAGATATTAATGTATTTGTAAGAGCGTCTTCGGACATTGGTAATCAGCTTTAAGCGCGTTTTTCTCGAAACTCTGTCTTCAGAGTCGATGAGAAAACTTTCTCTGAAACCGGTGGACCAATCAGCTTGAAATTGCCACACCTCAGATACTTGTCACGTTTTTTAGCTACACTGAAGTGTAAATTTTACATAAAAAACGACTTCTTTTGGGTAGCTGCTATTTTGTCAAACATCTAAATGTTGGCTAGTCCTTTCATCATTTTCATCTGTAATAATAATAATTTGTTTGATTTTTTGTTTACAGAAAATTTTAAGCAGAAAAACTTTCCTCACTGCTGGGATCGGCCACGGCAAAAAAGTAGTTCAAAATTTTTCAAAATGAAGCGTCGATTAGTGAAGTACATTAAATTCTGATAATGTACTTTTTTTTGATATATTTATTAAATAAGTCTCTTTGGAAAAAGTTCACAACAACACATTATTTCTGACTTCGAATTGGATATAACCCCATATTATTTCATTAAGTATGCTGTGTTAAAAAAATTTTGAAAACAAAATATAGAATAACAGATATAAATTCTTCTATGTAAATGTTATACAGTTATAAATTACAATTGGAAAATTAATCAAACTCGTTTTTGTAAACTGTATACTAGTACATGTGCACATTACAATTTCTTATTATAAAATATAATTTGATTCATCATTTGATTTAATTTGCATTATTAATATTGAAATAATTTAAAAATACTTTTAGCTTAATGCCTTTTATAAACGCAGCTTATTATGTACTATTATTCATAACTTTTGATACATTGTCAGTCTCCTGTGATTTATTTGTTGTTAATTTGTGATTATTTGTTATAACATATGCTTACTTCTGTATTTTCATATATATAGATTAGGGTGGAGCGGAAATTTTTTTTTTGTTTCTGCTTAGCTTAGGGTAAAGTCTGTAGATTATCAAAAATGGAAACTCTTGGACAAAAAAAAATTTTTTTTTAACATCTTGAGGCGGCTCAGTTTTAAAGTAAATTTTCGAATTAAAATTTTTATTTCCTAAAAATTTTTTGATAAGTGTTCCAGAAGCTGTGTAGAGTCCTCTTTCTGGCCGACTTAAAATTATCAACTTAAAAAAAAAATTTGTGGTGATTATTGGAGTTTTGAAAAAAATTCTTAAATGACAACATGCTTTCCTTAAACGTTAAAATAAATTTTGAGTCAAAAACCGTCACATTAGGTAATTTCTATATAAATGTAAAGAGTTTAAACCAAAAATAGTTTATTCTTGTCCAAAAAAAATTTGAACTTGAAATTTACTTTAAATCTGAGTTGGCCGCCTCTAGATGTTAAAAAAATTGGTTTTTGTGAAAAAGTTTTCTTCTTTTATAATCTACAGTCTTTACTCTCAGGCTAAGCAAAAAAAAAATTGTTTTTTCGCTCCATCCTAATACATATATATAATATATACCTATATACAATTTATATTTATTTTTGGTTTTTTTTTGAGGAAAAAGTATTAAGTTTTAGGAAAGTATGAAATGTACAAATTGTATATACAAACAGTATGAAATTATTGGGTTTCATTTTAAATTTTGTATATCCGCTTATTATGCTTACTGGTTAGCTAATTACCGTTATTTGTTTGCTATAAAATGTAGTTATTTTTAAATTTGTATCATAACCCATTCTAACTGTCTGCTTGTTCTATTCGATTTTCATTTCGTCAAAATTTGCATTTCAAAAAATCTTCGTGTTCGTATACTGCTGACTATGACATATTTTTTGTTAAATTGAATGCCAAATATCTATTTTAGTTATATGTATATGTGTGCTTAGATTATCAATTTGCTTTCATAAGTATAGTTAATTTAATCTGTAGATTTCCCAAATCGCTTTCTCATAGTGAGTTCGTCGTAAACTAGTATTTTCTGTAGATATTTATCGCTTTATTGGTACTTGATAAATAACTTTTTTAATATTATATTGTGGTAGTCAAGGTATCTAGTCAGTGTTTCTATTATAGTTGTGATACTGGTTCAAATGCGATCTTTATAAATATTGTATTTTAAAATAAAATATATGTACTGATTATTATTTTCCTGTCTTATTCGCTGCCTTCAATGCTTCAGTCATAATGATTATAAAATTGTATATCTTTAAACTTGTAGTTACTGATAAAATATGTGTGTTTGATATGCAATCCCTGTTTCAAATTCCTAAAAATTTTCTTTTCATTACCATTACTAGTATACTAAACATTACAATTCGTTGCTTTACATTTTACTTTCAGGTTAGTTTATTCGCAATTCAAAAATTTATAGACAAGAGATATTTTTTGCTTGAGTATAATTCTTGTTTTTTTTTTCAAGATTCACTTTCGTAGAACTATTGGCTGGCTTCTAAATAATGTACTCAGAAATTTATATATCCAGGATTTTTAATTTTCATTTTCTTGTACCAATGATCTGGCTCGTTTTTTCTTTCTTTGCCTTTGTGTGGCTCACAATCTGTTATAATTTAGAAAATCTATTTTTTTGGAAAGTTCTTTATAATCTCCTATATCTGTAGTAGTGTAACTGCCCTCAGCTGTCACCTATTTCTTTTTTTGTTGACCATAACCAGGTTTTACTACTTCTAGGTTATGAGAATTTCCTAAATCAGTTCACTGTCTCTATACTGTTCGTTAGTTCTGGTCAGTATCCAGAAGTTTTCATTTCGCCGGGTGATAACAGTCAAAGCTCTTGAGGTGAATCACATACCAACCGGTAACTTGTTTTCTATTTTACAAAGTGGCTTGGGAAGTTTATAAGTAAGTCTAAAGTTGTTTTGGGAGATGGTCGATGGAAGGGCAGATAAGTGTAACATTGAATGAATACATATATGTGACGTCTAGAATTGCGATATTACTTATACACTCTTCATGAAATTCAGAAGGTATATCGCCATAAGGAGCACATCTACATCTTATTAACGACTGGTACGTAAGGATGGCGTGACAGACAGCCAGTAAAACCTAATCTTTTTAGTTACAGCCCTCTAAAGTGTATCCGCTTAGTTCAATGACCCCTATCAGTTTATCTGATAGTCTTTACTCGGAAAAAAATCATCGGATACTACATATACATATACACTATAAATGTTCTTTTCCATATTTTGTATAATAAAAAATCCAACTTCTATACCGTCATTTTGCCACCAGACATTTTTGACTTGAGTATAATTTTCGTTTTGTTTTTTTTGTCAGATCCACTTTCGCTAATTTTGTAAATTTTTGATTTTTTTCGACAGTAGGTTATTGTACGGATAATATTTTCTAGAAAAAAAAAATCGTTTTAGGTTTCATCCACGGAGAAGGCCGGATTTACGGCACTGTGGACCCTGTATTTGCGCCGTCCGAGATCGTGTGTAGTTCCAATAATATTAAACCTTCTTCTTTTTTACTGTTTATTCTTAAAATATGTATACATATTACAACCTAAAAATCGCCTTTTTTATGATGTCACACTAGGTATGTCCCTTACAAAGGTTAACGTTTTTGGTTGCGTTAATGCATATAGCTGAGAATTCTTCAGTGAAAAAGTTGAAGATTATACGTTTTGAGCACATATTACACCTACATATATAATCTAAAAGTCATTTGAAATTATTATTATGAAGACGTGATTTATATGTGAAGGTACGGTTTCAGATCTTTTTACCTACTTCATTTTTAAGCCTAGCTTGCGATCCTTTTAAAAGAACAGAAGTTAAGCAATCACATAGATTAACAAACTAATTGCGAAGCAATATTACTTTGGGTGCCTCAATTGTAATTTTTTATTTGGGTATTGATTTTTTGATGGATAATCTTCGTGACTTGGCTAAATAAAAAATGACATAATGCCTTAAGATATATAAAAAATATATCCGGTTACTAAATATCATTGAAGCACTACTTTTTCAACAATCATTCTCTGTCCTACCTTATTTCTTTTACTCTTATATAACGAATAGATCACTACAACTCGAAGAGTTTCTTCGACGCATATTTACCGCCTTCTTGAACTTCAGCACCGAAGAGAGGAAGACTTTCGTACGATTCGTTAATTTGGACACGGTCTTCCGATTACCTTCGTCCAATAGCTGATCATTGCTCTCCGTGTAGTTGTCACTTGTTGAACCATCGCTGACACATCGTCTGCCCCCCGTAAATGCGCCGATGGCACCACTCACCGCGCCACTACCGTAAAATCGACGATTTTTTGGCGATGCGTTTAAACTATTCTTGCCTCCAGCTAGCAGCAAATCGAATTTACTTAGTGGACGCGTTTGTTGCTGTTGTTTTACAAGTGTCGGTTGACGTTGTATCGCTTCATCTTCATCTTCTAACTCACTCTCACCCATCTTGAGAATACTTTCCAGATTGAGCGTACGCTTGTTTGTGCGCTGTACATGGTTCTTCGTGGTTGCCAGTTTGATACCCATTCCCGTTGAAGAGAGGCTCGTGCTGACGGTGCGTTCGCTGCCAGTACCGATGCCTTCATCAACGACCGGCTGGTTTTCATCAATGTTGTCGGCGGTGTTGGCACTAACACCAGCTCGGTTTCCCGCGTTGTTCTCATTGTCGACTGCATCATCATCTTCATCATCGTCGGCATGATACATGGATACCTGTCGAACCATACGTCGTGGCGCTATGTGCATGTGCCGGTGCTTTTGTATTGCACTCTGCAAACTGAGACGTTGACGATCGCGCTCGTTGAGGTTACGTATACGCTGTGGATTCAGTTTGGACTGCGCGACAATGCCGACGAGAAGCTCGTTAACGTTGTGATCGAGTCCAGATGAGGTTTCAATAAATTTACAGCAAATCTCTTTAGCCAATTTTCGACCAGCTAAAAGAAAATTCCAATGCGATGAAGTGTACAGTGAATTACTGAAATACATTATATTCATATACATATGTATGTATGTGTGTACATATAAATTTTTTTTAAATCTGTGACGCATAAATATTTTAATGTATGTAATATTATATATTACATATACATAGGTTTATACAAAGTTTATACAAGGTTTATCATGTTGCCGTTTCACCAGATGTAACCGAAGTTTTATTAAATTTTTATAATCGATGGTTATCATCAGGAATGATCCATCATATATTTAGTCTTGCCGTAAATTCTGTTACAAAGTTTACAATGCTTCTCAAAAAACTTAATATTTCGAGAATGTTTGTTTACCGCACTATAAAAAAGCCATAAAAGCTATTCGCAGAAATCCCCTTAGAAATCATAAAATTATGTCAAGGGAAATGGATATATCGAGCAGATCATTGTCAAGACTTATTTAAGTTGATCTCCACATGAAAGCCTCCCATCAGTAAACAGGTCATCTTCTCACATTGCGCTTGAAGTAAATTCGGCTCAACAGATGGGATCGGGCCTTCAGTGAAACGCGGGGTATAGCCATGAAAGTTTTTAATAAGCAAAACGACAAAATCTACGCAAAAACTTCCAAAGACGTAAAAAGTTTTATTTCAAGAGTTTTCAAAATGGTCATCATTCAGCTGGTGTAATAGTATGGAGGGGAGTCTGTAAAGGCGTTACATCTCTTCACTTCTAAGAAGAAATGGGCCAAAGTGTAACAGCAGGACGTTTTAGCAGTCATATTAAAGAAGTAAAACAATACTCTCTTCGATGGAGAGCACTTGATCTTCTAGCAAGATTCTGCTGCAGCACACAAGGCAAAAACCACACTGCAGTGGTTTAAAGCAATATTATGGTTCTAAAGCTACAGATGATTGACCATCTGGAAGTTGCTGTCGACTAACCACACAAATTTGCAGATTCTAAAAAAATCTCTGGTTCGAGCAGCGTCGTCAATACTAAAAGAAACTGTGTGTGCTGCTATTGATCAATGGCCTCGTTTGAGAGCTTGTGTGAAAGCAAAAGGTGACCCTTTCGAATGAAATTTTGTACAAGAGCAATGTTATATATATATTATTAAATGAAATTACCCTTATTAAAAATGTATTATAGTTTAAATTTTATAACGGCATGAACTTGTAACAAAACTTAGGGCAGGGCTAAGTACGTGAGCTTAATGTCCTAATTTGTTTTATCAGTATGTCTTTAGATATAGAATACCTAGAAAATCTCTGAAAAAGGGAAAATACATCTGGTGGCTAAAAACAACCATATGAAGTATCTGATGTCATTAAATAATTATTTATTTAATTAAATTTTTAATTAAAATTAGTCAGTGAACTCTCATCCTGGCTTAAACGTCACTTTTCACAATTCGAAGTAGTAGGCAACTCCCATATTTTTAAACCAGCAAAAAACTGCCTTGAAATCCAATGTAGAATTTTCACAATCCAAGGTGCTATTTTGAATTCTATTGAATAGTCAGCCAATAGATAAGTAATGTTATTTTGACGAAAAAGTTTATCAGTCTCTTATCATGCTGAGCCTACTATACATGGCTAGGGCACGCCACCAAATATAACCGAATGTTCTGTAGATATTGACAGAGAAAAGGATATTTTAACAGCTTTGGGAAGGCCAAGAGAGAAATATTCATTGGTGTTCAGCATTGCACTTAATTTACGGAACAAAGGAATTACTTTAGCATTTAGAGGACTATAAAGCCAATATAGAATAAATATTAAGGATTTGGACAAGTCTAAAATATTCCTATTCTGATGAAGATAACAGAAGTTCTGAGACCCTTATTGCGTTCCTTGAGGTCCAATTTCAGGAAAGGACGTGACATTTCGCAGCTCAGACCATTTTTCAATGTTTTTTCTTCGTTACCTTTTCGCTTCTCAGCTTAGGCTTCGAAATGTAGGGATGCACAAATTTTTGGGAATATTTTGAACTGTAATCATAATTCAGCCATATCTTGTAGCAATATTTTTAGGATCACATGGTGACTTTTCCTGTTTCTATACCTTTCTAAGCTTATGAAGCTTCCTGCATCGTCTCCTGCTGCTCCAGTAAGCTGAGTTTATCAAATTAAAAAAAAAAGTTTTTTTTCGAAATCTATAAGAACCAGCTTTTCACTTCTAATGAAACTTTTAATATAAAGCAATTATGTTAAACTATCTTAACATATAAATAGTGGTGCTTCATCACCTATTACTCACCTTGCCGATTAACCTCACGATGTCGCTCTAAATCCGTTTTATTGCCAACTAAAATAGCGCCACGTGTCAGCAACATTTCGTGTTCTTTCAAATATTGTAAAACCTTCTCGGCTGCCTTGAAGGAATTGCGATCTACGACCGAGTATACAACAACAAATAAATCGATGTTGTAAGTCGAACAAAAAGCTTCCGTCTAAAAAGAGAAGAAAAATGAAAAAATAAGTAGGAAAATGTAAGTAAAAGTAGTAGTAATGAGAATAAATTGAAAAAGCCGGCTACTTAGATGATATGAAAGCCAGCGATAATTGTTATTAATGTCAATAAAATTGTGCGTTCTTCTGCCAACGGCGCTTGAGAGATTCAATGAATTAAACCCCGCTTGGGGCTGTTGTGTGCGCGTTGTCAACAGTTGAGATGACAGTCGACGTGCCGATAAACGGTGCGAGTATTCTAAGCAAATACACACACATAAAACATATAAGTAATATTGTATATTTGTATTGCTGCCTTTATCGCATGGCCTGCGCTGTGGGACTAAGCAATATATTTTTTGTTGTTTTTGCTATATTGTCGCTTAACATACAAAGTGTTAATGACATTCGACAACACACGAACACACAAACAAGTACATGTGAGCTTTATCTCGCCTACACACAAGCGACTACAATTAAGTTCATAGGTTTATATTATATATATTCTATGCCTTTGCTCGAATCTATGTATGTCAAAGCATGTTCATGTTAAGGTTATTGTTTTTATATATCGTAAGAATGTTGGCTCTCTTTTTATGTCAACAACATGCTCTACATTTGTAAGCATCCATATAAAAACAGATATACTTATATGCATATGTATGTGTGTATGTACTTTCCTGTAGCACTTCAACTTTACAGGTCGGCGGCTAGCTTGCCGTCAACGTCGTCAGCATCTAAATATTCACTCAAGTGAGAACTTGACCTACTCAGCTCAACATCACTGAGCGACAACTCAACAATGCAATGCTGGTAATTACTCACACTCTACGTGGCGAAAGATGAACGGCTAACGGTGCCAATGGCTAGTATGAATGTGTCGTTCCGTCCAGTAAGTGTTTTTTGGGACAACTACTTACCGACATTTCACAGGCAGGATGATCGATAATTTCCAAGTCCGTTTCGATGCCATCAACAAGCACAGACACTGTCTTTTGACCGTAATCGTCGTCTATAATGGAACGAGAGGGAGACAGTGATAATAATTTTTAATCTGTCTATAAATATATGTATATTTATATCTATACATGTGTATAGCGTTTTTATATCCAATATTATACGTCAACTTAATTGATGTCTTACATATTGTTCGACATAGGGGAAGTATTCATTCGATTTCATCAAATTTTGGCCCAATAATGATTAATATGAGGTATACGGGGCTGGAGTGAATTTTAATTCCTTTTGACATAAGGGCACATTATTATGAAAAATATTTTCTCTGAATTTCCATATCACAGAGATTTACTATATTTTTAGTAAAATATCAGTTATAGTGACTTTATTTATATACTGCAAAGTGAAAGGATCATATGGAACTTAAAATTGTAATATATGGCAATAGGTGTGGTTGTTGTCCAATTTTGAATATTTTCACAATGTCGAATCATACGAATGTAGAGAAAATTTCGTACACCTAAAATTCGTTGGCAACTAGTCGAGCAGTAACTGAGGTATAGAATTTCACCTAAAGGTGGGCGGTGCTACGCCCATTGTTTTATTTTGATACCATCTCTTCTAAAGTCCTGCCGTACCATCTCGGATATATAATTTAATGTGTTTTAATAATTAATTTAATGAGTTATCGTCCTTTTAGTAGTGTTCAACACAACTGTTATATGGGGAGTGGATGGGGTTAAAATCCGATTTCACGTAATTTCACATTGTCAGCGCAAGTGCGGAAAATATTTGTTTAAAGCAAATATGGTTGATATAGCTTGAGTAGTTTAAGGCTATTATGAGGAGAGGCCACACCCACTTTAAAAAAAAAATTAAAACCACAGAAACCTGTTCCTAATTCAATTCTTTGTAGCAAATAAAAAAATGTTTATCTTATTGCGGAGTTTAGTAATAGCACTTTATAACTTTTTGATTAACGAAATTTTGTAAGCGTGGTAATGGTCCGATTCGATAATCTTCAATACCAACCTCCAACCATGGTGTACTAAGTTTTATCGCGATATCTCAATTTTTACTTAAGTTATCGCTCGACCGGACGGACGGATAGACAGTCAACTGGAATTCAACTCGTTTTGTCATCCTGATTATTTATATATATATATATATTTAGCTTAGTTTAAAGTGTTACAAATAACGGCTAAGCGAGCAAAACGTACGTACTATATATAATACGTACTCTGTAGTAATATGTTTCGAGATACTAAATATAATATTATGATTGCCATAATAATTTGTTTGATAATATGTCAGCGTGTATATGCCGATATACTGGCAAACACATTTATTTAACAACTAATTTTTTACGCGCGCGTTAAATGCTATGCTGCTATTTATGAACACTTTTTTTTAGATATGGCAAGCATAAGGTAAATGAAGATGTAAACTAGGCAAGTGCTATTTAAGTATTTTTTTTACAAAAAATATTTCTTTAATAAACAGAATAAAATATGAATTGATTGGCTGCTTGTTTATTTACTGCACAATTTGTTAAAGCTTTTTTACATTAGGTCAAGTAAAAAGTTCGTTCGGTTTTTATTTAAGAGATGGCGTTATTGTACATAGTACTGGTGTTACGTGTCGCATCTTGTCATACTATACGGCGCTGAAAACCTGTTTATTCGCGCTAAAAGTTTATCCTTGACAGTTTTTCGATTGATTGGCTCAGTACGTTGTGAGCGCTCGTCAAAGATGGACACCAGCAAAGAGAAAATTCGCTATATTTTACAATTTTTCTTCGATCAAGGCGAAAAAGCAGCCAAAGCGGCTGAAAAAATTAATTTAGTTTATGGGCTCGATACTGTAAACGAACGTGTAGCACAAAAGTGATTTGCTAGGCTCCGTTTCGGTAATTTCGATGTCGAAAATGCACCACGCGTCGGGAGGCCTGTCGTCGAAAATTGCGATAAAATCATGGAAATAGTGGAAACAGACCCTCACCTTGGATTCAAAAGAAGAAGAAGAAGCTCGATGCACGCAAAGAACATGATGGACCGAATTTCCATCTGCAAATCGCGGCAGAATCGCAACAAAATTGACCCGTTTCTGAAGCGGATTGTGACTGGTGTTGAAAAATGGGTCACTTATGACAACATCGAGCGCAAACAGTCATGGTCAAAGCTCGGGGAAGCGGCTCAGATGGTGGGCAAGACCTGATTGACGGCAAGGAAGGTTTTGCTGTGTGTTTGGTGGGATTCGCAAGAAATCATTTACTACGAGCTGCTCCCATATGGCCAAACGCTCAATTGAGCCCTCTACTGCCAACAACTAGACCGCTTGAAGGCAGCACTCATCCAGAAGAGGCCATCTACATATGATCAACAGCGGCCGAATTGTGTTCCATCAGAACAATGCCAGAAGCTCCGGGAGCTCGGATGGGAGGTCCTAATGCAACCACCTTATAGTCCAGACCTGGAACCAAGTGATTACCATATTTTCCTGTTCATGGCGAACGCGCTTAATGGTGAGAAGTTGGCCTCAAGAGAGGCCTGTGAAAGTTAGCTCTCCGAGTTTCCAATAGGGACGAAGTCTTCTACGAGAGGGGTATAATGAGATTGGCATCTCGTTGGCAACAAGTTTACGAACAAAACGGCGCATATTTGACTTAAAGCGGACAAATGTACATAAAATTATCATCTTTTGAAAAATCAATAAAAAACCGAACGAACTTTTTACTTTACCAATATAAGCAAAATTTTGTTAAATAAAATCAATATTACTCATACGCAGTGGTGTGCTTTGATGGACTGGAAACTTTTAACATACATATGTATTTGTTAAATAGAATTATAGAAAAAAGCTCGTGTTCTCGCAAATAAAATTTATTATGAAGTTTTATAATTGTAAATAGTTGCAATCGGGTAGGAAATAGGATTTATGTATCTTAAATATATGTACACACCATACATAGGTATAAGGCATATATTTTACATAATAACAAAATTAAAGCATTCTATTTTATATTTATATAAAAATTATATAGTTCACCAAAACTAAATTTAACCAATCATATATATATATATATATATACTAGTAGAATATATAGAGAAATATCTCCGAACTTTCAACTTATATATTTATAATTCATAAGCGAGATAACATAAAGCAGTAAGCATTTTTCCTAACACTAAATATCTCCGCTTTATAAACCTTTTGTAAAATTTATAAATAACGAGTATATTGACAACTTTTTGCTTGATAGATTTATTGCCAATGTGTTTGGATTATCATTTAATCTAATACATATGTAGTTAATATGAAGAAAATGTATTTAAATTTCTAAGAGATTATCTTTCTCAAACTAGCAATATACGATAAAAGGTTTTTAAGGGGCTCTAGTGTAGAATCATGTCGGTATAACACTGAGTTTCAACTAAAATTCAAATTAGATAATCAGTGAAGCTAACTTATATCAAAAACCAAATAATCTTCAAATCAAAAACATTTGCGAAGGCTTCAGCGATTCAAAAATAATCCACCAAACCAAATACCACCAAAAGTATTTTGAATAAAAAGGTAGCAAGTACTCACAACTTTTGGGCTTAATAATAGAAAAGTTGCCAAATTTTATCGTTATTACACACAAATATACTTTAAGATAGCTGTACAAAAACAAAAACTGTGTAGCATGTTCAAATCCCGTTAACGAAATCGATATTATATACGACAAATTAAACAGCAAGTGCTGAGATATTCAGCAAAGAAAATTAAAAACTTTTCAAATTAGTATAATAACGCTAAATGAAAGCGCGACAGTGCTATGAGGAAGCAAGTATGTGTATCACATATTTACATGCATATTTATCATAATAATACCGTAATGTACGTTTCGGCGCTAAAAGATATGCAAGAGAATTCATACGTGAGTTTATTTGGAAGAGAGTGAATATATTTGTAGGTGTATAAAAAGATGGTGTTGTAGTGGCAAAAAATATCAGATAATTTCCGATAATATAGACCCCGCTGTGGTGTGGAAGTTTCACCCATACTCACTGCAAAAATGGGAGATTTTTATACTTCATACCTCTCTTTGTTAGTCAGCATTGAAATTTGGTATAAAAATATGGGAGATCTCTTCAATATTTCAAAAAAAACCTAAGGTTATTAGAAAAGTGAGTATGTGTCATCACCTAGTAGATGTTATTATGTGGCCCTGTGTAGCAGTAAGAATTAGAAGAGTTAATTTCTTTTGAAGTCTTCTAGTGGCAGGGTTATTGTTACGAGGTTGGACCACAAAGGTGTCAAATTAGTAGTGTTGGAGAGTTAGATGAGACAAATTTTTAGTACATTAAGACTCGCAAGTTAGTAGTATATGCAATGTACACCAATACAATATAAGAAGCCTATTTTTTAGGAACAGTAAGTATTCAATGACGTTTTAATCGGCAAGAATACGTCTTCAACTCACTCATTAAAGAGGTTATTTATATTCAGATCGATATTTCAAAAACTGAAGGACTAGTTCGCAGCTCATCATGCAGTTCATTTATATATATACTTTGTAGAGTCTCCGACGTTTCCTTCTAGGTGTTACAAACTTCATGGCAAACTTAGTATACCCTGTTCAGGGTAAAATTAACTTAGAAATTAAGGGGTTGGGTAAGTACAGGATTTTCAAAAATTATACTTTAGGGACCTAAAAATAATATTCAATTCTTACATATATGAAAAAAATTAAATTTTACAGTATAATTTTATGTTGTATTAAACAGTTTGGTTTAGTTAGTTTCAGCACGTAAACTTTTAAACGCGTTTTTGACGACAAATTTGTTTTCAAATCGTGAGACGATAGTACTCGGCGATTTCAACGATTTGCAAACAAAAAAAAAAATTTTAGTTGGTTTAAAGCACACTTTAGGCTCCTGAAATTATTATTAAATTGGTAGAATGGTGCACAAAAATTAATTTTAATAACTTTTCCAAATTGGCAGTAGTTTTTTGAGTCACCTCTTTGGAAGAAGGTAAGTCTGAAGATTGGACACTGTTTTATAATCAAAATTCAATATTTTAAACAATAAATAACGAATATATATACAATCTTTTGTTTAATTAATCTTGAAAGAGAATTTTCCTCTTTGCTAAATTTAAGAATAAATTGTCAAAGCTAGGCCTTACTTGGGGCTCTAGATTAACCTATGTTATTAACTTTGACAATGTATGGGTGTATAAAGTATAAGACTTAAGGTCAATCATAAACAATAATTGTCAGTATTTGCCTTCATCAATCTTAAATATTTGATTTTTCAAACATATGAGTCAACAAATCAAAAATAATTTTGGGTTAAAAAAAAAAACCAAAATCATCAATTACTTTTCTACACATATACTATTTTCATAGGCGGATTCCCTACATTCGAATTCCACACTTACCCAAACTCAAGTCGTAGGCACAAATATAATCGGATGTTGTGAATTGATAGGTTAATGTTGTTTTGCCAACACCCGAAGCGCCAAGCATTGCTATTTTATAGGCGGGTATCGGCACTTTGCCTACATCCTGTTTCTCCGTAGACTCGAAAATATTGTCACCGGATATATGTGATGCATTGCTGTGTAAAATGAAAAAGAAAACGGGTGTATAAAACCGTGAGGCAAAGATAAAATTGAATTAGGCGGCGTTTATGCTATTAAACGCTTATTGATTTTTTAACAAGTTAAATAACCACAAACACCAACAAATCAAATGCTTGTAATTGCATAGAATAGGTGTGATTGTTTGTACTAGGTAACACGACGTTTGAATATATTACAACGTAGCATAATTGAGTTAACAACAATATGATAGCATTAAACCCACCTGTTGTTCCGGTGCTCCTTGCCGCTGTTGGAAGTGCCCGTCGACGTAACCGAGTTTATTGAACGTGATCGGCGGCTTCTGAGCGAATAGCAGATGCAATCAGATGAAATGGCGGCGGTTGACACGCCGTCAAATGATGATTTTGTGAGTGGAAAAAAATGGAAGAAATTGAGAAAAGCAAGTAAGTTAACATTAAACGTGCGATGGCATAAAATTGTGTAGATGCGAACGACGAGCTAAAATCAGAATTTAATTTTTAAAGGTTTTCTCTAGCAAGTAAGTACAAGTATGTATTTATGTAAGTACGGGGACTGTGTAATAAGGCTGTGTGCTTTTTTAATGCTTTACAAGTTGTAGATGTCATGAACTACTGTCAAGCTGAGTAAGATACGTCATGGATGCTGGCAACTAGTGATTACAGCTTGGGCATTGTAAGATATAGCAGAAGTATTCTGGGACTCTAAACTATTAGTTTTTGATCGTATATACACAAGTGGTTGCTCAAATGAAATTGCATTCAATTTCGACTATACAAATATTAGTATCCTATTATGATCGTAGAAAGAAATTGTGTGAGTAACTGAGTACTTAACACATTTCTGTTGAGAGAATATTATCCGGGATTATTTTGTTTTAATCTTCGGGATAACAATCCTGTTGACATAAAAAATATTTGAACAGCAAAGCGGTCACTTTTTTGAATGGTTTTGTAATCGTGAACGAAATAGAGATGACACCAGGAATATAGCAATATTTTGAAAGAAAACATATCTAACATATCTGCGCGAATATGTACCAAGAAGACCAAGTGGATAAAAAATTTCAGAGCTTGGTTTTTCTTTTTGGCGTCAGTTACAAATTCATCACTCGGGACAGTATTCAGATTAAGTAATCTAGTTTTGTTTTTGGGGTTTAACCTCTTGGTATGTTATTTCCAGAGTAATCTTTGAATAATACAATATTTCCAGGTTTAAGTGATCAATATTATAAAATAAGATATTTGTTTGGGCCAAAGTTGGTTCAATAAAATTGTCATTGGCTTAACACTTTTTGGGGAATGTTAGATCAATTTGAATAAAAATGAACTGCTTGTGTTAAAAATGACTGCTATTCTATATACCACATAATGAATATACATACAAGTATATTGAGAAGTTAGACGTATGCTAGTCATAAAATAGTCGCTTATAGGTATAAATGATCATGGATTTATCATACCGCCCCTATATCAATGTGAATGTCTTCCCCTGGTGCCTTTGTGAAAAAGCTGCTGCGATTTAAATATTTAATTTTAACTGACATGAATATCTTTAACGTCATGTGTATGTCTTATGTCTAGTCAAGTCGCGTCTGCTGCATGAGCACTTCTGCATTTGCCTAAATGTATATATAATATATCTAAGTATATTTACTTATAATCTTTTTATGTCGTCTGCTTTATGACATTTTCAACTACTTCTCGCTTCACTCGCTACATTCTGTTTTATTTTGTCAGCCGCCTAACGTGTCTATTGATGTGTCTATCTGTTTACTTACCGCAGGGAATCACCCAAATTGCATACACCATGCGACGTGATGCTGAAACTCCGCAGGCGATAATATTCCAAATCGAGGTCGGCACAATGTATTGCTGCACGTCGCGTATCGGCGAGACGTGGCTAAAAGTAAATAAACATACAGAGACGAGTACAGGATAAAAGCGCTAGTAAAATCACATTAAAATGAAGCCGCAAGTGTTCAGCTGAGTCGGGTTGCATACTTAGTTAAGATGAACTAGAAGTGTATGAATAATGAAATGAGTTGTTGTGAAAAGAACATCAAAAGCGGTTGGGAAGTTGCGAAAAAAAATTTACTGCGACATTGGTCTTTTCATATGGCAAGGTTGCTATTCTCTATGGTTATTGTTATTATTGTTATTATTTTGTGATAGTAAAAAGAGTCAGCCAACAAAATGAATATGATGAATGTGGTTGAAAGCTTTTTCTTTTTATTCAATCTTCGTTAAAAAATATTTATTTATTGAAATTAAATTTTGCTGGAAATCAGCAAGATGGTATTATAACTTTTTATACTCTCGCAACCTGTTGCTACAGAGTATAATAGTTTTGTTCACCTAACGGTTGTTTGTATCACCTAAAACTAATCGAGTTAGATATAGGGTTATATATATATATAAATGATCAGGATGAAGAGACGAGTTGAAATCCGGGTGACTGTCTGTCCGTCCGTCCGTCCGTCCGTGCAAGCTCTAACTTGAGTAAAAATTGAGATATCTTTATGAAACTTGGTATACATGTTTCTAGGTACCGTGAGAGGGTTGGTATTGCAGATGGGCGTAATCGGACCACTGCCACGCCCACAAAACGCCATTAATCAAAAACAAATAACTTGCCATAACTAAGCTCCGCAATAAGATACAAGACTGTTATTTGGTACACAGGATCACATTAGGGAGGGGCATCTGCAGTTAAAACTTTTTTTTAAAAAGTGGGCGTGGTCCCGCCTCTAATAGGTTTAATGTGCATATCTCCTAAACCGCTAATGCTATAATAACAAAATTCACTAGAAGCAAATGTTTTTAGCACTTCTATTGACGGTGTGAAAATAGTTGAAATCGGGTGTCAACTCCGCCCACTGCCCATATAACGGTACTGTTAAAAACTACTAAAAGCGCGGTAAATCAAGCACTAAACACGCCAGAGACATTAAATTTTATCTCTGAGATGGTATAAGATGACTTTATAGGAACCGCGTTCAAAATTAGACAGTGGGCGTGGCACATCCCACTTTTAGGTGAAAACCCATATCTTGAGATCTGCTCAACCGCTTTCAACCAAATTCGGTGCATAACGTTCTTTTCATGTTTCTATGTCATAGTTCGAAAATGGGCGAAATCGGATTACAACCGCGCTTACTTCCCATGTAACACCATTTTCAATTCCATCTGATTCTTTCACTTTCCACTATGCAAATCAGGTAACAATGATTATATCGGGGTAAAACTTTGCGTAAATAATGCAATTAAAGTAAGCCACCTTGCGGCCAAAAATTGTCTAAATCGAACCAAAACTGTTCAAACCCCTAAGTACTAAATATGTGGACCCCAGTGCCTATAGTTGACCTTCTACCGAAAATACCAGTCAATCCACAAAGAAATCTCAAACGAGTATACCATTTGACTTTGCGAGAGTATAAAATGTTCGGTTACATCCGAACTTAGCCCTTCCTTACTTGTTATAAGTAGGTTTCATCAAAATACCTGAATATTTCAAAACAATCAATGCAGTAGTTTTTGTTAATTTTTTATGGCTCTAGACAATTATGTTTGATGGTCTAAAGATATTTTAGCCAAGATGTTGGACTGTTGACGAATAGTTGGGCATGCGAAAGTTTTGTTTATTCCAAATTTATGGGATAGTAATAAATTAATTCGATAAGTAAAAACTATGAACAGCGAATAGTTTTGGAATGTCTGAAAAACGAAATCGCCGAAATACGTCTTCATTTAAAGAAAAGCAATGTGCTCAGGCAAATCAATAAAAATAATTTTTCCATGTAAGCACTTTACTCCGATCATTCGATTCTATACAATTTCTTCGGAGATTGCATAATTGTCTTAATTAAAATTAAAAATAATCCATGCCAAATTTCGTGAAGATACCTCGTCAAATGAAAGAGTTTTCCATACAGGCACTTGATTCCGATCGTTCAGTTTGTATAGCAGCTATATGCTATAGTGATCCGACCTAAACAATTTTTTCGGCGATTATATTGTTGCCTTAGAAGAAGACTCATGGCAAATCTCGTGAAGATACAAGTACTATATGCCGCATTATATGCAATAGTTCCGTTCCGACAAGTGAGCAGCTTCTTAGTGAGAAAAAGACAGGTGCAAAATTTCAGATCGATAGCTTAAAAACTGTGGGACTAGTTTGCATATATACAGACAGACAGACATGGCTAAATCTTACATTTACTCATCATGCTGATCATTTATATATATATTTCATAGGGTCTCCGACGTTTCCTTCTGGGTGTTACAAACTTCGTGGTAAACTTAATATACCCTGCTATTAAAGTAAAAGATTCCCAAGGAAAAGCTTGTTCAAGGACGACAATATTTCATAATTAGCTTTAGTTCAAGCCAAATCTACCATTGAATTGAGTATTGTTTGATATGTTGAGGCAACTAAAACAACAAATAAGTACACTGAAGTGCTGCAAGTAAGTCATTAAAAGGCAAACGGAAGCACAGTTCGGAATCAACCCGGCAAGCGTTTATTTTTTTCTGCATTGCTTGCTTTGCTCTTCATTGCATTGTTTTGTGAAAATATTTGCTGTTAAATTTGTGTGTTGTTGCAAGGGATGGGTTGTCCATGTAACACGTGCGTATATACCCATTTGGAATTTATATTATAGTATTTATAATTTTTTGTTTTCTTGAATGTCAGTATTTTTTTCAAAGGAATTATGAGAGTTATCGCCTTCTCAATGCACCAGAATGAAAAAGGATAGACTTGATTTAAGCCATAATATTTAAAAGAATAATTTAAAAACAATATCACGAAGTCATAAATCAATGAAAACTCATTATAAAATATATAAATCGTTTTCACCTAAATAATTAATATTTTACCTCCTCTTACAACACTTTTTCCAACATGGAATTTTCAGCTACAATAACAAAACAACCATCCGTTCAACTATGATTTCAACACACGTGCATTCACTTTGACCTAGGCTCATAAAAACAATTTTGAGTTTATATTTACCTTTCTACTTTCAGCTGGCATACTCGAGGTGCGCATCCGTTGACGCTGTCGACTGCCCTGCAGCTGTGCAATGGTCGCTGAACTGCTGTGTAATATATTGGAGGCGGCACGATGCACACCGCTTGTGCCCACATTGACGACTGCGCCCACGCTTCCAATGCCGCTTTCGATTACATCTAGCTCATAGTGGCTATCATTCAAGCCGTTATTCTTGTTATTGTTGCCGTTGCCGTTGCCGTTACCGTTACCGCCGTTGTTATGCTGATGGTTCATGGTTGGCGAATCACCAGTCCGCAGTATGTCACTGACCATTTCACCAGCACTTGTTGCAGTGTCTTCCAACACCGAAGCGAGGGCCGACGATGAGCCACATAGCAAATCCATATTTGTGGCTATACTGCCACCCATACCTGCAACGCCGCCGCCGCCACCAAACAGTAGCGGTGTGGCCGAAGAGTACTGTGGGGAGACCGCACCAGACATGGCTTGTTGAAAGGTGAGCACACCGGCACTGCTACCACTGCCGCTGCCGCTACCACTTCCGCCACTGTCGATGCCCATGGAGTGCAGTGAGGGCAGGCGTGCTGGTTTGCCGCTCACTGGTGATTTTGCCAAAGTGATGCGGTCGCTGTGAATGTGTGAATTTATTTGTTAGTGGAATTGCTGACAAAAAAATGGTATGGCATTTAATTAAATAACTTAATGGCTATGGGAATTAGCAGCATTATATTGTTTGTACGAGTTTTTTGTGTTTGGCTAGTTGGCGGAAATGTAAAATTTATTAAGCTATGTGAGGATTGGTGTATATGTTTGTTTATTTAAGACACCAGAATGGATTCAATCAAATTGCGAGAGATATAAATTTCATTCAACAATTGTATTTCGTATTTTAACTGAGGCTTGTATCTCTCCTGGCGGTTGAGGTGCGCAAAGATATCACTCTAACATATATGTAGAATATATCATTAAAACCTTCAATCATTTCAGAAAATAGCCGATAACAAAATATCGTCTTCTATCTTACAGTGCGAGTATATAGTTGGATCTGATGAAGAAAACATTTAGTAAAATTGAAAAATTGCCATTGTAGGTTATTTTTTTAATGATATAACTGCTTTTTATAGTTCGATATATCTAGAGTTTAGAAAACACAGGTTGGTTGGGTATGTTTTTCTAAAATATCAAGGGTAAATTTTTGAAATTATCTTATTAGATTGCGGTAAAGAAAAGAGATATTATCCAAGGAAACTAAACGCGATTCTTAAAGAGGCCGATTTTTTGGATTGTGCTGGATTTATTATTTGCGTGGATCGATTATTTCTCCAACCCTTTTTAATATTGTATTTCGTATGTTGAGCTTGCAAACAATTTTGTATTAAACCGTTATACACAGGTTGAGAGCTCTTCTATAAAAATATAATAAATGAATTCTGGTTATATGTTACAATATATTTCATTACTTAAAAGTTATTGGTTTCCACCACCATATAGTATGTACATATATATATATACGTATATAAGGCCTAGAAAAGGTAAATACATTTTAGTTTCGTCGATTCCGTTTCCGTGATTTTGATGTCAAAGATGCACCAAGAACTGGAAGCCCAATTGTCGAGAATATCTTTAAAATAATGGAAATCGTCCGACCGTCAGGTAAGCACTGTTTCGATTACCTAAGAGCCGTTTGGAACCTCTTAAATAAGACTGGACGCATTAAGAACGTGCGCCACAAGAATTAATGTAAAAAATATCTATTCAATCTGTGAATCGCGAAATAGATAAATAGAAAAATCTGACAGTTAGTCTTATTGAGTTTTTATCAAACTTTTTGTATTTTGAAACAAAGAAAAAAGCTTGTAATGTAGTTACTCTGACAAAAAATCAAGTTCGGTTGCACCGAAGGTAGAATACCCTTCACAAAAAAGATTTCATACAAGAAATTAATATTGATCGCTCGATTTGTATGGAAGCTATATGCTATAGTAGTTCGATGTGAAACATTTTTTTGGATCTTGTTTCATTGCCTTGAATGATAATCCAAGTGAAATTTCGTGAAAGCATCTTATCAAATAAAAAAGTGTTTCGTACAAGAACTTTACTTTGATTGTTGTATGGCAGCTATATGCTATATTCGTCCGATATCGGCGGTGCCGACAAATGAGAAGATTTTTGAAGAGAAAAGGATATATGCATAATTTAAGATCGATATATAAAAAACTGGGGGCGCAGTTCGCGTATATATAAACAGACGGACTTGTCTAAATCAACTCAGTTACTTCGTGGCAAACTTAATATATCATGTTCAGAATATACAAATGACATAAGGCCAGGATGAGTCCGCGAATAGTTGCCAAAAAAAATGTGACTAATGAAACTTATATTTATACATATTTGAAGTACTCCCGATGTCCATTCCTTAAAGATTATGAGTACAATTTATTGCAGGGTAATTACTCCGATTATATTCACTATAAAAATTGAAGGTAAACAAGAGGTTGGATTTTTCATAATTTACTATTGAGTTGAAATTTTCTGGTTTCTGTAGTGATAAATGGTATATGTGCCTATATTTTATGGTTAAAAATTTCTGAAAACTATGAACATTTTACATGTTATCAAACTAGAACTGCGAAAGCTTTTAAATATTACTTTGGTATATACTTGAAATGTCCTAAAAGAAAATCCTTCTACTTATACTCCTTTATCCGTCACACAGTAATATTTGATATACTGTAAGCTTTGAGTACATTAAGGCCATTCTTTTTCAGTATCCTAATATCCACAAATTTTTTGCTGCTCTCTTCAGTCTTTACTTTGGCAGCCACAGGACGGTTGCCCTTTTGATAGCTCTTTCATATACGTTCTCCTGCAGACATTCGCCATGAATGGCTTTACTTTATTTCCACCTCGAGCCGAATTTGTTTTTTTAAATCGCCGCATGGACACGTGCTTTACTGCGGTGTGTACAGACCACATAAACTCATTTTATCCATATTTTTGCTCGACTACTCGCCTCTGCGTGCAACTATGTGCGTATGTGTGTGGGAAGTGGATATTATACTAGAAAAGGTTGTGCATGCTATCTAATAAATATGGCAACAATATTGCTGGCCGTTGCACGCAATATCAATAAGCTCGACTAGGTACTTATGTGTGCGCCTACCTGGGCGTATGAGTAATTCGTAGCGAAGAATGTGTGATACATTGCATTGCATACTAACTCCAGTAAGTGCATACGAGCATATATACATATATGAAACTGTATGCAGTCTTAACGGTAAAGCATACTTCAAAAACATTCCACGAAAAATTGCATTACTAAGTTGTTGGCTAGAGCGGCTTCTGCAGGTGTGCTTAGTGAGGAGCGGAAGCACTTTTGCGCCCACGAAGTGGACATTATTGCGGCATTTTGCTTCAGCGTGTCTTTAATGGTTTATTGCATGCGTGTATAGTTTTCAATGCACGAGTGTACTCAGCAAAGTTTTAGCACATTCACTTTACGGTGAAGTTGGGGAATCAGCTCCTAGACTTTGTGACCGCATGAAATGTAATTACCAATTACGGTTTGTGGTGCAAAGTGCCTTTAACGATTTGAAGTTTTCACTAAGCAATTTTGAGGCATTTAATGTGGAATATCTCGTACGCATTTTGCATAAAAACTGTCTTCTGAAGTAATTTTGAGTTGAAGATTTCATTCGAAAATATGGCTTTATATAATGAGTTTTTATTTAAGATCTAGAAAGGTAATATAATTACATATATTATGAACGGGGTATATTAACTTTGCCACAAAGTTTGTAACACTCCGAAGGAAATAACGAGATGAGCTGAATTGATTAAGCCATGTAAGCCTGTATATAGTCCTCAGTTTTTGAGATATCGATCTGTATTTGCCCTTATCCTTTATTGAGCAAGATGTAGTTCATTTGTCGGAATAGCCGATATTGGAAAATTATAGCATATAGCTGCCATACAAACCGACTGATCAGAATCAAGTCCCTGGATGTATTTGAGGAATTATCTTCACGAAATTTGGCATGGATTATATTCCAAGGCAACAATCTCTGAACATATTTTTTAGATCGGATCACTAAGGGTTATATCTGAAATACAATTAAACGAAACTGACTGAAAACTTTCGTATACAAAAACATATAATTGCCCATAACACAGTCGAATATTCTGAGTTCAAAGAGAATAGGTCTTTAGAGATCATACCTCTAATTGGTATCGAGTGCAAATACTCTGAACAGTTGCCCAACATGCCTACAAACCATGCCATAGGAGAAATATGGTAAAAACAAATAAGGAAGGGCTACGTTCGTATGTAACCGAACATTTTATACTTTCTCAAAGTCAGATGGTATACTCGTTTGAGCAGGGTCTTGAACAGTTTCGGTTCGATTTAGAAAATTTTTGGACACAATTGTACGATTTTTATTCAAGTTACAGCTTGCACAGACGGATGGATGGACATACAGTCAGTTGAAATATTTAAAGTGATACTGACGTTAGTTTCCAAAGAAAATCTTGTATAACATATAGCCAATAGAAGCTCAAAAGAAGTTGTCAAGAAAGAGCGTATACCTATTAATACCATTCGTATTAGTTTAATGCTGCTGTACACCCTAGAGATAATATCCTTCTCTTTGATTACAAAAACTTCACTGAAGCTTAAATTATTTCTGTTTTAAAATATATTAAAAAAAAAAACAAATAAAATGATAGCTGCATTCATTGATTGCCATGCGCTTCTATTTCGTAGAAGTTTTGATTTTGATAAGAAATATAATTTAAATTATTACTTTTAAATTCTCGAACAAATCATTTCTCATATTTCATTGCTGGAAAATATCTAATTATTTATTCCTTGTCTTTTTGTTTGTTAAATTTGTTTACTCTTTAACTTTAATCCTTGTGCTGCAAAAGCTTCTTTCCTTGCTGCCAAAAAGTTTTCTTTGTAGCAAATTATCAGGATGGGAATGCTAAGCCTTTGGGCGTTTTTCTTATGTTCCTGTTTGCTTCATTATTTCGCTACTATGTTTCGACTGCTTCGGCTTATAACTTGTTCTCCTTACCTGCGATAGACTAATGGAATTAAAACTCTAATCCATTGCTTTTCTGAATCTAAATAATAAAGTGAGATTTTGTATAACTGAGATTATATTTGCAAGTTTAGAAAGAGGAAAGGAGTGATTGCACTTCTGCTATTTGGGGAACAATAAGCTGATACTAATGCCATTTACAACTAGTTATTAGATCAAATATCAGATAATTAATAATTAACGATCCATTTTCGTTGTTGAGCAGCAACTAAAAAATAACTATACTCAACTCATCACTCTTTCAAAGCTTCTAGCATGCGGTAACTAATTTTCTGAATACCGTTACTTACCACGTGTCTTTATTGCATAATATTATAAAACTTAGAAGTGAATAAATTATTAAAATGTGTTAAAGTTTAAATTCTCTCCCGATCTCAGTCGATTTGGTGAATACTCTAATTACCCCAGGGTCGATAATTTTTCAAAGCCAAAAATCTCATAGTAGGATGAAACCTATTGGTGAAGGAAGATGATATAACTAAAATGAAATGAAAGAAAATTTACTGTCGATCTTAGGTTGGGAAGAGAAAAGGAAGGTGTGTGGATTGTAGCGATGCAGTGAATAATAACATGTGTCAACTTTCGTGAAGATACCTTGTCCAATAAAAAATGATTCCATATAAGGAATTCGATCGGTCAGTTTGTATGGCAGCTATGCGCTATAGTGGTCCGATATCAGAGGTTTCGACAAATGAGCACCTTCTTAATAAGAAAAGGACTAGGGACTATATACAGACGGACATATATACTTTGCAGCGTCTCCGACGCTTCCTTTTGGGAGTTATAAACTTCGTGTCAAACCAAAATCAAAAGCACGAACGATTATTGTATCGTTTTTTTTGTTTTTTTCCTTAACTTTTTCGAATTAAGGGGAGCAGCTTAGTCAATGATTGCAGTTATCATATTTGAATAATTTTCTATTTATTGAAATGCAATAAAGTTGATGTTCAGTGAAAAGAGAAAGGAAACTATCCCTGCAATACAGAACTATTAAATTAGAACAGGCATATCAAACCGAAATTTTGCTTCAATTAAGACTCAGATTAATCCCTTTTGCATTAGCTCTATTCACTTTCATTACACTTATATTATTTTCCCATATTTATTTATAATTTTTTTCTTATTACTTACCGTGTTGCACTGTGCGCTAAATTTATTGTGCTGCCATCTGTTGTTGTTGCATGATGATTTCTCAAATTTGTAATATCTGCTAGAGTTGTACCCTCACCGCGATTATAACTAACATCGGAAGCCAATAGATTTGTAACGATGGATGAGGAACGACGTCTGGTGAGTAATGGTGATTTTTGCACACGCTTGGTCTGAAAAAGTTGATATACCATTTTATATGTGCATAATTATCTAACTCATAATAGTCTCTAACGAAATTTGAATTAAATAATTTAATTCTACCAAATGTTTTTTGAAAAATATGTTAGCAATATTTACGGCTTAAGAGTCGTCATATGGATCATTTTATCGTTTCTTGCTCAAATCACGATCGCTTTTCATATAAGGAGGGTTGAACCAAGGAAATATGTATATATACAGCTCGGAAAAGTATTTTATTAAACTTCATAAAACTACGCACTAGCAATACAATATTTTTTCCTACACGATTCTAAATCCTTAATAATTATATTATTTGAGAATCGTATGAGAATTCCAGTAGGATGTATATAGGTCATTCGCGTCATTAAACAAACTTTTCAAATTAAAACTACTCAAAATACAAGAATGAACACTAAGATGGAGCAGAAGAAAATTATTGAAGCCGAAACATTCAATACTAGGGCGAAGCAGAAACCATAATCAAGATGGATCGACGAATTAGAGGAAGACATGAAAAAGCTTGGTACAAAATATTGGCAAAATTCCCATGTGACCGAGATGTTTGGATGTAGCACGTACAGCGCTAAAACATGTAACACGCCAACAAGTAAGAATAAAACTTAAATTAATGGGGCTTAAAAGACTTCGTGGGCTCATTAAATACGTTAAAATATTAGTGGCTACCGATTAAAATATGAACGAATGTTTGATCCGCCTAGTGTGTACGAAATTCGTTTAATTGGGAAACATGTATGTCCTTGGTAATGTTGTGATAGTGATAAGCTTTGCCATCTGGAACTTAAAACTCCAAATTATGTTCGAAGTTTCGAAATGTTAAATAAATAATTAATTACAAGTATTTTATGTATGTGTTTGCTATCAGATACCGATTAAGCTTCTCTCTTCACATTTCGATAGCATTCATATTTTCATACCATAGAAATCCAGCACAATTCAACTCATTTGGTGTAAACTTGTAATTTGACCCAATTAATTGATGAAACGAAATTTCAAATATAAATACGCTTTTCAACTGCTATTTTATATAATGCCAACTTTTAGCTCTCGCATTGACTTATACACACCCGCCGCACAATCCAGCTCAAGCGAGAGCTCAGCGCAAATTCAATTCAACGCTGACCTCGTTCGCATGCAATTAATTGAAAGAGCCCATGTAAATGATATCCTGTTTTAAATACTCGTTTGACTTAATGCAATGAATGCGGGTGCACAGTGCCGAGCAGCGTTTACATTTGTGATGCTCTAGAAATCCAATAAATCTCTCAGTCAACCGGCGCTATTAACACGCATTTTAAACGCACTCCCGACCGCTTAAATACCCTACATTAAAATATATGTATGTGTGAGTGTACTTACGCTGGCACTATTGCGACCAGTGTTGCCCAATGTGACCGCAGCAGCTATGGCACCATTATGATTGCTGTTGCTGTTGTTAGCGTTCGCGCTAATAGCCGGCGCTGCGACGGCGTTGACAAAACTTGCGCTAGTAGCATTTAATAGATCGCTGAATTTATTTACTGACGTCGAAGTTTTCGGGTGTGCCGTATGCAGGTCCATGTACAACAAGTTATTGGTTACATTAGCGGCAGTGTTGCCTGTGTTAGTGCTGGCCATGGTGGTGGGTGGCGCAGTCGGATTGGCCACACAACAAGGTGGTGTACCCGCAAGCGCCATTTTAAGCTCAGCGTCCACGTCAGCCGGGCCTGCTGGTTTAACTGTCGTCGCATCAAAGTTGTAATTACTGTTGCTGTAGCGCAACTCACCGCCCATACTGTTGCCAACACAATCGCCCACAACACCTCCGCACGACATCTCGATGGGCGCACCAGCCGCCGCTGCATTATTGCCAATGCCCGAGTTAGCGTTCGCACAGAGGCCGCCTCCAATGCCGGCGAGATTTATCGCTGATCCTAACATGCCACTTAGCGTGTTGAGATTTGTGCGACTGCCGGAAAGTAGGCCGCTCTGTTGTTGCACACGGTGCAGTACGGCCTCTTTGGTGTGGTAGGCGCCGAAGCCTCGTCCTTTCGGTGGCTGGGGGAGCGCGCGGTGTGGCAGCATTTGGTCTTTGCAACAGACGTTTGTTTGGGCGGTGGCGGCATTTGCTGTTGCTGGCCCTGTGGACTTTAATGCATTTAGTTGCATTTGCTGTTGATGCTGGCTTGGATGCTGCTGCAGATGTTGTTGTTGTTGCTGCTGTTGTTGTGCGTGCATTTGCTGATATTGTGGCACAGCTGTTGTCGGTTTCTTTAGGATTGGCTTCAGTACAGTGGTCGTGGTGCTTGGCGGTGGTGGCAACGAAGGCAATTCAGCCGGTGTGGGTGTAGAGGAGGTGGTGCTTATTGTATCACTTTCCTCACAGCTGGCATCTGCAAGATGTTGTAGAAAACGGTATATTGATTAAGTTGTCAATTGTAATTGTGGCAGATTTGTAAAGCATTTGTGTTCTGTTGCTTTTTGTTGTTTTGCTTTTAAGTGGTAATTTGTTTGACAAAGTGATTTATTCGAGCAAGGCGTTCTAGTTATTGAAGCTAAATATTTGAAAATAGAAATAAAGACTTTACCGAAAATGGTAAGCACTCACTTTGTGAAAGAAGAAAGCATCGTAACTCCAGTAGGGTCTTTGAGTACCATGATTTCTTCATCATTGGTTTTTTTTTATTATTGTACTAAGCGGTTAGAGTTCACGATAACTCGATATACGTGTCGTTAATTTATAAGTTTGCAATAATTTGTGTTGCCAAGTCTTTTCGGGTAAAAAATCAACTTTGTTGCGCAAAGGAGGTCTTAACTTGCGTCTAAGGTTTCTATAGGTTCTAAGATATATGAAATAGTTCAAAACTTAGAGGACTTAGAAGTTTGTATGGATAAGATTGTAGTCTATCTAATACACTGAGTGCTATAATAAATCCTAAACTGTCTCTGATAGTCCCGCACTCAACATTCAATGATCTAGGCAAGTGCTCAAAGCAAGGGAAATAAGTATTTTCAAGTGTTCGCTAAATTTTACACTAGAAATGTTTCGAAAGAATTTAACATTAATTTTTCGATGAAATTGGGAATGGATTACAGTCATGTTTATATCTTATATTATAGGTCATAGACTCATTTAATTTCATTGCTATATTTTACTTAACGTCAGCGAAAATTATATTAAAATCATCTACAAACGAGTTAAATTTATATGATATTAACTCAACCGAAAAAGCTAAATGTAATATATTGAGCTGATGTGGAAAACGTCAGCCAGAGGATCGGAACTCATTATATTAGGGATATGTGGTTTAGACAAACTCCTGTCATATTAAGCGCTAAACCATTAATATGATCTTATAACTTTTAAGAAAACTGGTCCACTTAATTTCATTGAAATATCACACATTTTGATCAATCTGAACGGTTTAAGTCGGAAGTCGGTGGAAAGTTGGAAATCACGATACAGTGTATATTGGGGGCAGAGAAAGGTCTGCACTGATTGCATTAACTTTTTCCATTAATGAAGTACACTCAAAGACATGTCCCTATGTAACCCTATGTAACGGTCACACAATGACCGACATATTTGGCACAAAGTCTGCTGAAATAACGAAAATCATTATAGGTACTATATGGGGGCTGGGGAAATACGTGACCAATTTCACACATTTTCGACTTTCAATTATAGTATACCCAGTGCTATATTAGAAATTAATTTTCCTAGTTTACCTTACGTATTGACTAATATATAATATACGGTATAAGTATGGGAGGTAAAAGTAGTATTGACCCGATTTGATCCATTTTTGGCATTACGACATATCATTACTACATATGTGAGTTGTAAATTGAACAGTATGTGTGTATCCGGATATTAGTTAGGTTATATGGGGGTTAGGGAAATTTTTCATTCGATTTTTCCCATTTTAGGCACAAAGATTCACCGTTAGGAAAAAAACAAGCTTCCAAGCTCAATTTAATTAATATTACTCATGCATTGGCCGATATACAGTGGCGAGCAGAACCGTTTGGATGTTCGCACTTCTGCACTTTCAGTGCTCTAACATTTTAACTGTTAGCTCAAACGTTACCAAACTTGAAGTGTTAGTTCTTTGTTTAATGTATAACAAATTCTAATACTAATAAAATTGCAGTAACTAAAATGAAAACAACAAACTCATTCAGTACAGTTTTGTTCGTTTCACTAAATATGAAATAAATATGGTTTGAATTTAATTTGATGCCGTAAAACAACACTGTGATTGAACAGTTACTTCCGCCGAATTCGTATTTTTCAGTTTTAGTTAATTATCACTTGCATAAACATGCAATATTAGGCAATCAGTGTTTTCATACAAAATGCGAAAAGTTTCATCCAACGTTGGAGCAAAGGTTGTTTTTGACAAAAAGGGACCTTTCTATCCGTAAAATTACTAGTCAGTTCAAGTTAGCTTTGAGCAGTGTTGTGGCTATAAGAAAACGCCCATGATGGTAAACAAACGCTGAGGCTAGGCAAATATTCAGAAGACCCACTAAAGCGGATAATAGAACACCGTAGGAGGCTGCAATCGCCAAAAATAAAACTATCAGCGAATTCACCGCTCGGAGAGTTCTTCAAATGATTATTTTTGTGGCCGCCGTTAAACAGAAAAAACCTGCTCTATCTAATAAAATTATTAAGGTGCGTCTAAAGTTTTGTAAGGAACATAAAAAATTATTCGTGGTAGAGTGGAAAAAGGTTATCTGGTCGGTTGAAACGAACATCAATCGTTTTCAATCAAATGGCAAACAGTACTACTCGCGCCGTCCACACGAAAACCTTCAACGACATCATGTGCGACAGATTCTAAAATATGATGACGGCAATGGTATGAGGGTGCTTCCCTTGATGGGACATTGGTCCGTTAGTCAAAACCGCTGGAATTATGAAAAAAGAAGACTATTAGAATATTTTACAGTAAAATTTATCGGACTTTATGGACAAGTGTGCTTATCCAGATGAAGGATCGGTTTTCAACAGGATAACGATCTGAAACACACCGCCAAATTTGTTACTCACTAGCTCCGATGTCAACGAGTTCAAATCATCCAATGGCCAGCACAAAGTCTCGACCTTAACCCGATTGAAAATTTGTGTGCTATTGTAAAGAGGAGATAGTGTAAATACCGAAACGCTCCGAGCAATATGGAGGAGCTATGGAGTAGAGTACAAATCGAATGAAGAAGCATACCGAAGGAAATAATATAAAGTTTAGTTGAAGGTATGCCGAGACGTGTAAAAAATGTAATTTAACACACAGGCCTTTGGACCTATTATTAAATAATGTAATTTTAGGCCATTTACTTTTTACGAGCAAAACTGTACTTAATGAGTTTATTTCAGTTTTTGTGGTATTTGTCTTTGTCTTTTGCTTTTGTGAATGGAAATTTTATATAAAATATTATTTTATTGTAAAATAAATAAATAAACCTATACTGAAAATTTGATAATATTTCATCTGTCGTAAAAAATTTTAAAGCATGTGCCATAAAGTCAGCCAGAAGTTCGATAATCTTTCTAATAGGTATATGGGGGCTAAGAAAAGTATTGACCCCATTCAACCCATTTTTGACACAAAGATATACTATTATCAGAAAACAACTCTCTTCGAATTTAAATTATATATCTTACACATTGACCGATATTTTTGGTAAAAGGTCAACTATAGACACTGCATCTGTCTTCAGTATCTGGGAGCTGTAACAGTTTTGGTCCGATTTTGGTAAGTTTAAGACTTGAGATGGCATATCTTCAATGCATTGTTCCTGCAAAGTTTTATCCCGATACATTCATTGATGCTTGAATAAGATTAATTTAAAGTTGCGTTATAGGAAGTAAGCATGTTTGTAGTCCGACTTCGCCCATTTTCGCACTGTAACATAGGAATATCAAAATAATGTTACGTAACGAAATTAGTTGAAGTTGGTCCAGCAGGTCCGGGGATATGTGATTTCACCTAAAGGTGGGCGGTGCGGTAAAGCTCTCTTGTACCGTCCTGGGTGTAAAATTTAATGTCTCTGATGGATTTAGTTATTGGTTTATGGCACTTTTAGTAATAGAAGCGTAATTTTATAGATCAATTTTGGAATATTATTCAATTATAAAAGTTCGCAAATTAATATATTGTAAATTAAAGTATACATATTTTCTTTAAAAATATTCAAACTCCAAAACTTGCAAAATATTACTCAAAGTCAATTGTCTTAATTTGATATTTCTGTTTACTTTTATAAGCGATGATACTAATAGATAATCAACAAAAGAGGCGCGCTCTTCGATTCAGTTTTGGTATACGGATGTCAAGAGGCTATTATACTCGTGCTAGTATAGATACACAAAACAGGTGAAGGCAATAAAGCAGTGGAATTTCCGAACACAAACTCAGCGTATACTTCAACTGCTACTTATGATTAATGACGATCAAAGGATGTACTACTAAGGAGTTATGGAAATGTTGATATTCCTATGAAAAAAAAAAATAATTCTTTACAGTAATGATGCCAAATAGAGATGGATGCTCATTCATCAACTACGTAGTTTTGTGAATATGTAATTGGGGATTTTTTCGAGGTATAGAACTTTAAGTTGGCATTACTGTTCAAGATGGCGACCGATTTAACAGCTGTCAAGTGATTTATTCTCAGTTTGGTTTGGCAATTCATCATGAATAAACTCACGCCTGAACAACGCTTGCAAATAGTGCAATTTTAATTCGAAAATAATGGTTCTGTGCGGAATACGTATCGCGTACTACGTTATTTTTTTTTGTTTAACGATGAAGCGCACTTCTGGTTGAATGGCTACGTCAACAAACAAAACTGCCGCATTTGGAGAGTGTATGTCGAAACACCGTTACATACAGAAAAACTGATTGTTTGGTGCGCTTTATGGGCTGGTGGAATCATTCTTTTCAAAAACGATGCTGGCGAGAACGTTACAGTCAATGGTGATCGGTATAGAGCCATGATTATTAACTTTTTCATTCCTGAATTGAACAACCATGATGTCCAGGAGCTGTGGTTCCAACAAGACGGCGCAACATGTCACACAGCTCGTGCCACCATCGATTTATTGAAAGAGACGTTTGGCGACCGCCTAATTTAACGTTTTGGACCTGTGAATTGGCCTCCAAGATCTTGTGATTTAACACCGCTAGACTACTTTCTGTGGGGTTATTAAAGTCATTGGTCTATACGCTAGCAATCATATTTAAAATGTAATGCCACAAGATTATCTTTCGGATAAATAAAATTCATGTCAATCGAATAATCCATCATTGTTTTATTGCAATTTAAAGTTCTATACCTCTAAAAAAATGCCCTTTATAATGTCGAAACTTCTCACCACTCTACC